ACCGAACTCTAATTCTACCATGAGCACAAATTGATATATTTTCCATTTGCTACAAAATACACAGTCTTATTTGCATTTTATAGCAAATGCAAAATATATCAATATAAATATAAAATAAAATATAAAATACACAGAGTCACACATGCTCCATTCCTCACTTCCTGCTCAGTACCTCCCTCTGGGGAACAGTCAAATTGAGGAGATTGCCATGTGGGAATTCCTAGTCAGAAAACTCAACTATTATCGTTCCAACGCTCAGCAAATTGGAATACGATATCATGGGCGTTTGACAACTAAGCAAACCATCTACAAGATTATTTTTGATTGTTTGATGGTATATTTTAGTACCAGGAACCAAAATACCGCCTACAAAACACGCAGTCACAACAATTTACAGTAAGTCCTGTGATGCAATTTGAGATGCCCTCCCAATGTTGGTAATCAAGTGTAAGGATTTTTATTATTGTTGTTACTATTTTGTTTAGCAGTTCTCTATTGACTACAGGGATCTAAAATGTGGTATTTGCAAAAGGAATTGATAGTTGCAACTCAGAGTGACAAATAGTGCTTCCTGCTCCAAACTTCACAATAATTAGTATTCTCAGGCCCACGATCGCATGGTTTCTGTCTTCAGACCATTGCTTTAAAATGTAACATTCTGCAGAATTATGAAAAATTCTTAAATTCAATCTTGAAGTATGCTTTTTCCTTTGGCCTCATATTTTACACAATAGATTTCTTCAGAATACATAAACTAATCATACTAATATTGTTATGCGGACGTCATCCGCAGACATGGGATCAACCCCCAATTCTATCTCTCTGCCTCCACCCTTGACTCGAGGACCACTGCTGTGCTGACAGAATGTCTGTCAGACATCAAGTCCTGGATGAGCGTCAACTTTCTTCAGTTGAACATCAACAAGACTGAGGCTCTCCTGATTGGCTCCCGTCAGCGCCTCCTCACCTCAGGCATTGACATTATCACCATCCATGGTTGCACATTCCACCTTGCTAAGCCAGTCCAGAACCTTGAGGTCTTGTTTGACCCTCAACTATCCTTTCTACCCCACATCCAGGCCATGACCCCACATCTGCCTTCCCCCACCTCCGCAACGCCGCCCGGCTCTGACACTGTCTCACAACTCGGGCCACCGAGACCCTCACACACGCCTTCATTACATCCAGGCTCGACTACGCAAACTCCCTACTCGTCAGCCTTCTCAACTCCTCCCTCCATAGGCTGCAGATCATCCAGAACTCTGATGCCCTCTGCGACATCCTAAACCCCCTACCATCCTGTGGAGTCCTGCAGCTCAGTGGTTAGAGCACTCGCTTTGCAAGCGAGAGACCTGAGTTCAATTCCAGGCAGAGGGCGAAACCTTGGGCAAGTTTCCTTACTCCACACAGAGCCTAATAATAATCCCTCCAAAACCCAAAACAATAATAAATTGGTCATTTTCAATCTACGACTGTTTGTGGGACATTGCTGTGCGCAATTGGCTGCCGCGTTCGCCCACAAATATACAGTCAATTCACTTTACAGTGTGTTCTGTGAAGCGCTTTGGGACGTCCTCCCGACGTGAAAAGCGCCATATCAAATGCAAGGATTATTATTATTATCCTGCTCGCTCCCTCCCTCCGCTCATCCGCTCAGCCTGCTTCACGTCCCCCACCTCTTCCACCCCACCATTGGCGGGCGGGCCTTCAGCCACTCTGCCCCCACCCTCTGGAACTCCATCCCGCAGTCCCTCCGCCTCGCCCAGCTCCCTTGCCTGCTTCAAGATCCTCCTCTTCAACCACTTTCCCCAATCCCAACCCCCCGGCCCAGGTCCGAAACACTGATTGCCCAGCGCCTTGGAACACATACAAATATATTTATACGAATGTAATTTTGTTATTGTTGCTAATACTAAGAACGATAATCGTAATCCTTACATTTGTGGCATCGCCTTTCTTATCAGGAGGACGTCCCAAAGAGTACACGGGATATATTTTAAAGTGGAGTGACTGTGTGTGTTGTTGCTCCCAACCTGATACAAAATTTTAATTCGGCCCTTAAAACCACGGGATTTTGTTCTGTAAGGCCTGGCTGTTACAGACAAAACTGTGGGAAAAATTATTTTGTTGCAAGTACAAAAGTGTGTTGTAATGATGCAAATGTAACTTGCCTGCTTGGCTCTCTCAGTCACTTCGCTCACGTCCTGTAAGAAACAAATACATTCTTTCAGAAAAAGTGCAAACCCACATATGCTGTATTTGATCGACTAAAAGGATTGCACGTTGAGCAATCTGACCAGAGCACGTCATCCTTATACACGAAATGCTTAGCTGGGTCGCAGGGGATGATAAATGGAGGAGCCATTCCCCCTTTCCCCATCGGCACGTGGTTTCAGCTGCTTAAACCCCAACGCACACAACTGGGATCACCGAGCCTTGGCTCTCGCCAAGCCGCGAGTATTTTTCTTCAGCCTTAGGTAAGCAGAGTGGCGTTCCTCCAGGGAGAGAGGGTACATTCCATTCCATTACACAGGAATGTCACGTGTAGGTGGCATTCACTTAGTCTGATTTGGACGCCCTTTAAGCAGTAGCCGACCAGCTCCCCAATAGCGCTTGTGACTGTCATGGAAAAGTGTGTGTGTGTGTGTGTGTGTGTGTGGCGGGGGCCGGGGAGGGGGGGTGGGGGGGGGGGGAGTGGGAGCTGATTTGCGGGGGATCCAGTTCATGGGGGCTCTGATTGCGGTAAAACATCCGTATGTTTAAACGGAACTTGTGAACTAGGCTGCACAGGGCGAGCATCGGGAGCCATTCACTGGAGCAGTCGGGAAATCTCCCAATTTCCTTTATACCAGGTCCCGCCACCGCTCTTAAGCGCGATGGTGGTTTTCGGCATGGGTTAGACCCCTGGTGATTTTTACACTATTACACAGATAAAAACATATCTGGGTAATAGCGTAAAAAAAATTGGTCACTTCGATCCACGAGTGTTTGTGGGACGCTGCTGTGCGCAATTTCGCCCACAATAGCATACGGTCAAATTCACCTTAAGGTATATTCTGTGAAGCGCTTTGGGAGTGACTCACTGATGTGATAAAGCGCTATATCAAATGCGACGATTATAATTATTAAAGCTTTGGGAGAGCATGGGAAAAATGTGTGTGTGGAGGGGGGGGGGGGGTGGGGGGTGGTGGGGGCCCTGGGAGAATATGTCTCGACTTTTTTTTTAACCCCTCTTTAATTTTTTGGTGTATACTGGAGGTTTTGGGGAAATGTCCTTGATGTTTTCTTCTGCACATCTCTTGAACTGCTGCCCTGCACTGTGGATCCAGGTGAGGTTTCTTTGCTGCAGTTTAATGCTGCCGCGTGGGGGGGGGGGTAGAACCTTTTCGAACAGAGTTGAGGAAACACTTCTACACTCAGAAGGCAGTGACTTTATGGGATTCTCCACCCCAGAAGGCTGTAGATGCTCAGTCCTTGAACATCTTCAAGACTGAGGTTGATAGGTTTCTAAAGGACAGAGAGATTAAGGGATATGGGGATAAGGCGGGGAGATGGAGTTGGGTTAGAAGATCAGCCATGATCTTATTCAATGGCGGGGCCGGCTCGAGGGGCCGAATGGTCTACTCCTGCTCCTACTTCCTATGTTCCGTTGTAGAACTTGGATCAAAAGGGAAGAGATACTGTTCACTGCAAAGGACTGCTGGGCTCAGACCTGATGGTTAAACTCACTCGCTCAAGCTCCTGGGGTTAGATGTGGCAGTGGCAATTCACCACTCACGCGGCCTCCATTTACATGCAACTCGATATGAAAATGCTCCTCATTGCTATGAACAGCTGCTTCTCTATGTCTGATTGAGCTGTGACAGTGATGGTTCAGTTAAGCGTGTCTCTGCTTTGTTTAAACTGGGCTGAAGCAGAACCTACTTCAAGGGCTAGTGTGTGCCTCTCCGTTGCATGTAAATAAACCTATATATCAGGTAAATATTAAAACATTCTCTTTTAACCCTTGCAACCTTTTAATGACACTCAACTGGGCAGCAAGCGATTTGCTTTAGTGACTCTGCCAATCATCCAACAACAACAATTTGGATTTATATAGCGTCCTCCACGCTGGACAGCATCTCAGAGCGCTTCACAGTAACGGATCCCGGGACCGATCTGGGGGGAAGGGGAGGAAGGTGACCAAAGGCGCGATTCACTGATCACTGAAATGAAAGCTGACACACAAAAGAATTGGGGGTTGCTGCAGGAGTTTAAGCGTTGATGTTGTTCTGATCATAGACTCCCCCGCCCCCCGCGAAGGAGAGACAACCCCAAGAGAAAACAGAACCAAATGCTGCAGGGATTGGGATTGCATTACTTTTTATCAGTTCCAGTTTGTTGACTCTGGATGTCACCAGAATATTCGCATTTCGACTACTTAACTGTGGGCAGTATGAGTGAGTATACAATTAAATTGACTCCCCCCCCACAAAGCGTCCCAACATTATTCTGCAGGAATGTCACTGATGCTGAGGGAGTGGAGATAATGTGGACAGAATAGTTATTTGATATGGGATTTTGAATGTGCCATAGTACATTCATTCACAAAACACCAGCCACTGCACCCTACAGCACATTGAGACGCCCTCCTGATGTGAAAAGGCAATATAACAAATGCAAGGATCATTTTATGAATGAAAAGGGGTCTATTAAATATAAAGGTTTTATATATTTAAGGCCATTATCTTGAAAATGAAGGTTGGTTGTAGAATTTCATGAGCGGGTTTAGACAGTCATGAGGCAGGTTAGTTTATCCTTCTGATGGTTTGATGGAATAGCACTTACTATTATCATTACAACAGAGTCTTTGCAACCCAAATAAATACAGTTACAAAATTATTTTAAAATAATTTTCGCAATATATAAACATAGTTAACATAATAAATGCCTGGGACTTTAAGGACCAATAAAACTGTCTGTGGGTAAAATCTTGTGGAAAGAAACCAAACGGCAAAACATTCCGAGAGTAATGCAACATTGCACATATTTGCTGTTTTTTTTTAATTGAACTGAACCTAAATATTTTGAAAATAAAGAGCAACATTTGTTTTCAATCGACTAAAGTCTCCAAGACCACTCTTGGTTTAGCAGAGTGATCCTTGTTACAGCCGCATGAGTTTCTGGAGCTTTGGGAACAGTCTGAACGCGTTCTGTGTTGTGACTTCCATAACTTTCTCCACTGGAATCCCTTTAACCTGGGCGATGTACTGACAGGAGACCAATACGTTCTTAGGCTCGTTTCTCACCTGCAAAACGACAAAGAGTGTTTCAGTGACCCTTGTCACAATAGAGCAAGTTACAGGAGATAATGAAGGGCACAAATCAAGAAACAATAAATAGAGAAATATACTTTAATGTTTCTCTAAAGAGAATAACTTAAGATCTTCTCCCTTCCCTCTAAAACTGCAGTTTCCACTGATTAGAACTGAACGATTAAAATGTCGCGCTCATGGGCTAGAATTATAACGTAGAAATATAAAAATCTCAAGAGTAGCTCAAAATATCTCACCGATAACAAATAATGTTAATCCTCGTAGCGCCTTCCATGTTGGAAAGACGTCTCAAAATGCTTCACTCAATTCTACTGTAAAGTGTCATGACTGGGTATGTATGGGTAAAAACTGCAACCAATTTGCACACCAATATGCCATAAAGTGATTGACCAATTTTGTAGGGCGTCAGGAGAAATTCTCTACATTTTTGAATAGTGCCATGGGATCTTTAACGTCCAGCTGGACAGTCGGCAAAGTCTCAGATTAATATACTCCAGCGAAATAGTAGTTCCTGCAACACTGTATTAGTGTCACCCGAGACTGTGAGTTGAAAGTCCCCACTGCACTTGATCCCACAACCTATACCCAATCTGCAAGTTGTTAAACTGATAACAATACTTTATATAGCACCTTTTACATCAGCAAGACGTATCAATGCGCTTCAACCAACTGTGAGCCCACGTTGATGGGGGTGGGAGATAAGTTTGTGTAAATACTGGATGAATGAGGCCTCTTTCACCCACCTCCCATGTTTTCACCCATTTTTTTTAATAGTACTACTGACTCTGCGTTACTGCTGGCCTCGAACTATGAATGATAGACCTTGGATGCACAAAAGTCTTACCTGACGGAGAATGTTACATTGAGATTTACCTGTTTTACTGGCCCTAATGCAGGAGAGTCTGTCTCCAGGCACATGGACTCCAATGGCAGCTGTTTCACCAGTTTCTGCTTCTTGGGTAAAACAGTACAAAGGTTAGTCTGCCTTCAGATCACATTTTCACATTAAGCGATACCTTTCAAGATCTTTCTTCGTAGAGAGAACAAGTCAGTCAGTTCATCAGAACATTTTGTGAAGTAAATCACATGTAAAACATTTTCTCGACAGTCTTTGGACTTGTTGACGTGTGATACCAGTCAGCCCTGCAGTTGGTAGCCTCCGAGTCAGAATGTTGTATAAACTCACATAGTCCTAGCTGCCACGCCAGTCAGTGCAGGGCTGGAGGAGCATTGCATTGTTGCTGGTGCCGTCCTTCAATTAAGATGTTAAAACAAGGTCTGCCTGTTCAGGTGGACATTAAAGATCTCATGGCATGATTTGAAAAGAGAAAGGAGTTTTTAATCCCCCAGATAAAATTGATTGTTTGCTTTATGGCACTGCTGGCTCCAAATTGGCTGCAGCTTTTTTCTACGAAATATACAGTTACTACGCTTTACAGTAAATCTTGTGAAACGCTTTCAGACCCCTTGAAGAATGATAAAGCACTGTGTAAAATGTAAGGCTTATTATTATATTATTTGTGCTGTGCCAGATGCGATTAATGCAATGAATCTTGAGAATTAAACCCTAATCTCAAAACATGACTTCTGCACTATACGAAAACAATTAAATAGCATTAATCTTTGCATTTGGAAACATCAAATCGTCTCAATGCACTTCACAGGTAATTGATGTTTAGTGACTGTTTTGGGGGGTAAATGAAGCAGCCAATTTGCGCGCAGCAATGTCTCACAAACAACCATAAAGTGAAAACACAATTTGAGTTTTGTTGGCTCGGAGACCAGGAGAAACTCCTCTTTTTGAATAGCGCCACAGGATCTTTAACCTCCACCTGAACAGGCAGACTTGGTTTAACGTTTCATCTGAAGGTCTGCAATGTGATTTGTTTTTAAAATTCATCAGTGCTTCCATGAAGCCTCGGGTATCTCGTCCACATTCTTCATGTGTAAAGTCAGACAAAGAGCAATATTACAATTTCTTAAATTCAATCTCAATTTCAAAGTCCGATTCCCACAGTTCTTTAAAAAAAAGAAATTGGCTTCCAAATTAAAACTGGATTGAAGGATTTTCCAGGTTTGCAGCAGCTTAAAATTTCAATACAAAATGGTTTGACAGGATAAGAGTAGGTTGAATTTGGGGACTACAGTACTGAAACTTAATAAGAAAACTCTGGGTTATCAAAAGGGCTTTCATTACTAAATTTCGACACACCTAATGAATATTGTTACAGCGTTTAGTCTAACCTGTTCACTTCTTATAATAGAGGGTGGAATTGAAAAGAAAAATCCAGCTTTCACCGCTTCCATAGCCACTGAAGGTTTCCCGTCAAAAGCATGAAGCAGAACTCTCTCAGCACCTGGAACACAAGACAACCTTCGCTATAGTCCATTACAGATCGTCCAATATTTTGTAAACAAAGCAGCCGTTGCACCAGTAATTTGATCCTGCATATTTTCAGATTCCCCCATGGCAATTTATCTCTGCCATTCATAATTCATGTCATTTATGCTCTTGTCCTGCAGCAATACGATAGACCAACTTGTGCCAGGGGGCTGGGTTTACGTGAACCACGAAAGACGCCACGATGACAACAGCAACTTGCATTTATATAGCACTCCCCACGCAGGGTAACGTACTAGAGCACTTCAACATTACATTGCTGTTTTATCAGCCGAAAGAATCAGTGGATGCAAATAATTTGGTCTTCAATATTTGAATGGCAATGATGTTTTGAATACAGTGGCAAACGTGCTACAGGGAGTACAACTGCTCCACAACATCACGCTATCCAATTTAGCATCTGTTTTCCAAATGAATAGGACCTCAATTCTTACCAGAGGAATAAGAATGTGCTTGTGATATGTGTTCATCACCTCATGAAATGGTGCCCATGAACTTACGATGGGTGAAAGCTTGGGCTTTGTCACCTCTTCTCTTCCCCCCCACCCCACACCCCCCAATTAATGAATGGGTCCAACCAAAAAACAGTGGTTGATTTGACATCTACAACAATTTGTAAAAATGAATTAACTGTATCTGAAAATAAAAAATAAAAATGGGTATGAGGAAAAGGCAGGGGAGTGAAACTAAACAGGGCCGATGTTGGTTCTGAACACAATGCTACGATTCTAATTTCAAAATACGGTCTTGATCCATACTATGAACTTAGAACCATCGATTCTAATACCGTGGTTCCTACTCCATCTCTCCAGCCCCAATGTAAGGGTTGCTATAAATCAAATTGAAAACAAGAAACTGAAACCCCAGACCTTGTTCTTTTAGAAGTTTAATTGTTGGGCGTCCAGCAGATCGAGAATGAACGTTTCTGTAAAAGGAAAGAGCCAAGAGATCAGCGCAATACAACTCGGTATTAGACTGAATAATTAATTGGATAGGTTTGAAAAGCTTTCGTTCCTAATCAATTCTTAAAGGGGGACATTGCTGCAGAGGGAATATTACGGCCGCTGTCTTTTACATACCATTCCCAGCCAGGTATTCTGAACATAAATATCTCTGCCAGGTCTAGATTTAGTCATTGTGTTTTTAATTTGATCCCGCCCGTATGGAGCAACTTCCAGATTTGTGTAAAAAAAATAATAAATTGGTCACTTCAATCCACTATTTGTGGGACGCTGCTGTGCGTAATTGGCAGCTGCATTTCGCCCACAATATATACAGTCAATTCACTTTACAGTCTATCCTCTGAAGCGCTTTGAGACGTCTAGAAGACATGATAAGGCGCTTCATCAAATGCAAGGATTATTATTATTATTATATGCATGACCACACGATTAGTTATCTTTGCTTCCCATCCCGCAGTTCCGCAGTTCCCAGCTCGGGTGCCCGCCAGTACCTTTAGGCCCTTTGGGATATTCTCCTGACATGAAAGGCGCTTTGTACACATTTTAAAAAATTGTATCGTAAAATACAGAGATGGAACTAGCTCAGCTAAGAACAGTGACAGCAGCTTGCCAGTGAACTGTCAGGAAATCCTGTGCATCCCTGCAAGGAGTCCAAACTGAGAGAATTCAATACCAGGTGAGTACACAGGAACACAGAATACTATAATGTCTCCTCTCTCCCCTTGCCTCCCAAAGTATGGTCTGGTCTGTCACCTTCATGTTGTGTTCCGATTAAATATTGACAGAAGGTGGTGGTGCACAATATATCAACAATAATTTCCATTTGAAAAGCTCACTTACCATGATTGCAGAACCTGCATGTCCTGAATAGGTGTCATACAATGAGCAACGCAGCCATGCCGTTTAGTAAGCATTCAGGAACCACATAGAAACACGGAAACAAGAGGAGGCCATTTAGTCCCTCGAGTTTGTTCTGCCATTCTAAGATCAAGGCTGATTTGCATCTCAGCTCCAATGACCTGGCCTTGCCCCGTACCCCTTGACACCCTGACCTAATGAACATATCAGAAACCACAAGCGTGCAAAACAGAATTCTTGAGATTTAATCTGAAACGCCTGTCTGCCAACGCACAGAAACTCTTTTTAATATAAATTTAAAAAGAACGTCACACCCAATAATAATAATAATCCTTGCATTTGATACAGCGCCTTATTACATCTTCGAAATGTCTCAAAGCGCTTCACCGAATATTCTGTAAAGTGAATTGACTGTATAGTTTGTGGGCAAAACGTGGCAGGCAATTGTGCACAGCAGCGTCCCACAAACAGTCGTGGGTTGAGTGACCAATTATTATTATTTTTGCTTGCTTGCTTGCTTGCTTATTTATTGAGATTTAATTTGAAACAACTGTCGGGGGACATACAGTAACTCTTCTTAATATCAATTTAAAACGAATATCACACCCAATATACTTTAAACAGACATTGTCAAACCATAGAGGGGGTTACAAGAGGTATGGGTGAACCAATAGCTCTTTTGTCTCTGCCTAGGTACTTGAACCCACAACCGTCTCACTCAGAGGCTAGAATGCTACCAACTGAGGCAGGCTGAAACCTGAATGCATGCAGTTGTTTCATAAAGTACAATATTAGTAATTATATTGACCAATCTAATTTTTTACCATAACAATTAGTCATGCTGACACATGAATATTGGAAAGGAACGGGAAGATACCTGGCCCCTGTGGAACAATACCCCAGAATTAACAAACATCAGTCATAACAGCTTCAGAAGAGTTGGCAGAGGTGGAGAAAATAAGGAGCAAAAACACAACACTTCTTAGTCTCATGATTAGATATCACGACACCTATAGTTAAAGGTAAATTACAAAGGTAAATCCAGCTGCTTTGCTATTTCAATTTGTCTGATGAGGACCTGTCTCTGTTCATTCTTCTGAGCATCGGTGCTTGCGAATCGAGGGGTGAAATCCAATCCAACCTAAAGAAAAATCAGAGACCCATTGTGAGGGAATGTTTAATATTTTATTATGTACTTGATCTACCCATGTATTTCATACTGATATACTGTATACAATTACACAAAAAATGTCAGTCTTTCAATATCTGCAGTGGAATGCCTATTGTGTTTTTCTGGAGGTAACGCTTTGGAAAGAAAAGAAAGTAATGCTGTTTAAAAAAACAAAACAAAATAAGCACAGGTTTTAATACTGGGGCCGTTGGGGGGGGGAGGGGGTTGCAGTTCAGAAGCCGCATTTGTAATGTGGTAAATTCTGGCAAAACGTCTGAGTTTGGGTTTGTAGCAGGAATGGGGATTGCACATTATGTGCAAACGCACATTACACCACCCCATGGCCTATCAATGCTCTGATGACCTACGCCCACCATGAACATGAATAAACTGCGGTATAAGTCAGAGGTCTGAAATTCCAGCTAGTTGTGGGAACATGGGAAAACAAAAAACAGCAGTTCCACCACTTTATTAGATCTAGTTAGATCTAGTTATTAGATCTAGTTAGATCTTTCAATAATAATCCATGCATTTGACATAGCGCCTTATCACGTCTTCAAGAATTCTCAAAGCGCTTCACAGAATATACCGCAAAGTGAATTGACCATATATTTTGTGGGCGAAACGTTAATCCCAATGCCCTGCCCTTTCGCATTAGCCTTTAATACATCTACCACACAAGAATCTGTCCATTTCTTTTAAACATTCCCCTGATTCTACTTTACAGTTTTAGTCTTAAAATTGAAGACTTTGAAAAAATCCAGAATTGAGTCTTAAACTGGAAGCTGTTCATTTTTTAAATGCATGGAAAACTGGCTTACATTTTAACATAACACGTAGGAGCAGGAGGAGGCCATTCGGCCCTTCGAGCCTGCCCAGCCATTCAATCATGGCTGATCTTCTAATCTAACTCCAGCTAATAACCTGACCCTGCCTTATCCCCATATCCCTTAATCCCTTTTGCAATAAGAAATCTATCTATCTCAGTCTTGAATATATTCAAGGACTGAGCGTTAACAGCCCTTTGGGGTAGTGAGTTCCATACATTTGAGTGAAGAAGTTCTTCCTCAACTCAGTGCGATAGGGCTGCCTCTGATTTTAAGGTTGTGACCCCCGGTTAAGACTAAATTTAAGAAGCTTTCACATTTCTGAGTAATCTTTAAGACAAAATGGTCTTGCATGCTGAGACACGGTGGAATTTCAGATCTTGTATATCGCTGAGCACTAGATAATAGTTTGTTCTATATAATAAACCTATTTCTTGTCCTAACTATTTTTTTTAAAGAAACCCAACCTAAAATCATTTATATGAATAAGATAAAGGAGTTGATGGCTCACAGAAAAAACAGTGACTCAGTCCTAAGACCTGCCCGATTCACTTATCCTTCAACACTGTCACTCAATAATTTATGTTTAGTGGCTACATGCCCCATCATGCAACCTCTACACCAGTTACTCACTCATTTCTTGATGAGATTCCCACCAACGTTATAGTCCAGAGTTGCAATCAGGAATGATGTGGTTCACTGAATGCCCCGCCCTGGGGTCTACACACGTTGATATACCGATTAAATCATGCCATTATGGCCTTTTGTCAATTGCAAGAACTCAACCATACTTCTAAATTAACAGGGCCCTGTCATTTGCTTCATGAATGTTTGATGGTCCTGCATTAATAGCAATCCCCCTGTCTTCTTCTGCTGAACAGCAAGTAAGAGAGGAAACTGGACTGAATTTCACTTCGGTTAATATTCCACAACCATTTAAGTAATGAAAAGAGGCCCAGAGATGCAGGGAGCAGAACATTTGGCTTCAAATTGCTTTAAGGCTGTCTGTATAGGGAGTACCATTGCTCCACACGGTATTTGGTGGTGCACCGCATGTTTGATACAATACAACAACAACAAATTACATTTGTTTAGCGCCTTTCACGTCAGGAGGATGTCCCAAAGCGCTGGACAGTCAAGGATCCACACCTATATGTGATGTAGCAAGATATGTAATGTTAAATGCATTTTGTTCTATTTCAGTCAAGATAGTTTACTATTAGTGGATCTAATATTGTTACACAATTGTCCTTGTAACCAAAGTGAACACAAAACACCCTAAATGTTGAAAGTTACAAAAATATACCCTACCTCGCCAATTGCCAGTAACCGTTCCTTATATTTTTCTATTAATGGTAGCGCAGCTTCCAGATCCTGGAAAAGGAAAAAAAAAAAGAAAATAAGCCAAAAGAAATTGATAATACAGCTTATGTGTTTCTAAAAGAGAAGATTAAAATATTAAATAAGTAGTTAATCTGTGCAAGAAGCGGCAACATTAATGTCAGAGCAGCTTAAGTCATGGTAACAGAATCCTGTCAGTACATTCTAATTAAAAATAAGATTGTTTTAATTTGCCTGAATTCTTGATGTTTAATGAGCACCCCTTCTGCAGGTGAAAGATCATCCTCTGAGGTTACCTGTAGAGTAGCACTACGCTGTTCTCCTGATGGATCGACCTGCACTGGATGGACACCAAGACATGGCAATACAAAGCCAGAATATCTGAAAATAAATTAAACAAAAACAAAATGGTAAGGAATGCACGTGACTTTAGCTGATCAACGGAAAAGCATGGAATAACGACAACCCCACTATCAAAAGGGAACAGATTCCAATTACTAATCAGGTTACTCCAGATAGACCAGCCAACTGGCCAATCCACAGGATTTGGAGGGAGAAGATATTCTTTCCCACTCAGTTACCTGTTAACTCTGCAAGGTCAAGCCCTAACGGGCAGAGTGGTCCGAGCTGGACAAGGAGTGGAGAAGCTTGCTAAAACGTGCTCGCAAGGGCACGCTAAGCAATTTTAGCTGCTTGGTGTCCAGCAGTACCCTGAATCACGCTCTGGGGTCCCCAAGCCTTGGCTCTCAAACAATGTGCTTAATACCCTCTGGAATTACTTAAGCAGGGTGGATTAATCGAGGAAGAGAGCGCACATTCCTTTCCAGGCCCAGGGAAATCTCCTGTCTAGGTGGCATACATACGTGGAACTCTCAGCCTGGTTTGGATACTCTGGAGCCTTGGTCGTGGCTGGATTAATGCAGGGGCTTTAGGGGCTGCTGGGGGCATCGGGAGCACGGCACAGTCTCTGTAACATTCTGACGTCCGGAGAGATTGAGATTGATTTCTCTGGAGGTCAGAGCGCTTTTGCTCATGCACGAGAAGCCCCGTTTCCGTGCATGTATCTCTCCTCTCTCTATCTGACTGTGTGTCTGTCTGTGTCTGTGTATGTCTCTGTTTGTGAGTCTGTGTGTCTCTCTCAAGGTAAATTGAAAAAGAGTGTTTTGACATCGCTGCAGGCATAGGAGTTGGTAAAACAGTAAAGGGAAGGAATTGAACATGCAAAGAGGGGCCCCCAAAACTACAACAGCCCTGAGCCCCCATCAAGCTTAATCCAGTCCCGAGCATGGTGATGGGTTTCCAGTCAGATTGATTAACTGAGTAGCTCGGTCTCATTCCCACGTGTGTACGTTTTCATTGTGAGTAATACAGCTCTGATATTTTGCAATTCGATTTTGTAAGTATTCATTGCTACAAATGGATAAAAAGATTAAAAATTCGGAGAGGTTTTGATAAGAGTAGATAGGGAGAGACCGTTTCCACTGGCGGTGGGGGGGGGGGGGGGTCAATAACCAGGGGACACAGATTCAAGATAATTGGCAAAAGAACCCCAGGGAAGATGAGGGGACATTTTTTTTTACACACAGAGAGTTGTAACAGTTGCGGAGGTGGGGGAAGGCAGAGCGGGTCATGCCATGGATGTGGGGTAGAAAGGATAGTTGAGGGTCAAATAAGGCGCCAAGGTTCCAGACTGCCTTTGCAAGGTGGAGTGAGCATCCGTGGATGGTGATGCTGTCAGCGCCTGAGGTGAGGAGCGCTGACAGAAACCAATCAGGAGCCTCGGTCTTGTTGACATTCGCTCTCATCCAGCACTTGATGTCTGACAGACATTTCATCCAGACAGCAGTGGTCCTGGAGTCAAGGTGGAGGCAGAGAGGTAGAGTTGGGTGTCATCCGCATACACGTGGAAGTTGACCCCATGTCTGCGGATGATGTCACCAAGAGGGAGCATACAGATATTGAAGAGGAAGGGACCAAGGACAGAGCCCTGAGGAACACCACACGAGACGATGCGGGGGCTAGAGGAGAAACCGTTAGTAGAGATGAAATGGAGACGGTGTGAGAGGTACGATCTGAGCCAGTCAAGGGCAGAGTCATGAAGATTGAGGTGAGAGGGGAAGTGGAGGATGAGGATAGAGTGGTCGATGGTGTTGAAGGCAGCAGAAAGGTCGAGGAGGACAAGGAGGCAGAGGGAGCCATGGTCGCAGATGGGCATTTGTCACTTTGACCAGGGCTCTGAAGCAGTTTTTTTTCCAAAATTACTTCTTTCTTTCCCCAAATCTCTTGCGATTTCCCAAAGGTATCGTTCAAGCGAACAACAACTTGCATTTATATAGCGTCCCCATATAGCGGCCCAGAGCGCCTTGAGTGGAGAATCAAGTGTGATTGCTCAAGTTACGCATTTTCTTTCAGCAGGAGTTTCCCTTGTGTTTTTTAACCCACGTATCTGGAAATCTTTTAGAAACACAGAAATTCACAGTACAGAAGAAGGCCATTCAGCCCATTGTGTCTGTAAAGGCTCTTTTGAAGGAGTGCCAGCTGCAGAGTTTTGTTACCGAGAGTCAACAATTGCCAAAACTGGGTTCATTTAAGCTGCAGTTTGATGCTACAATGGGAAGGTGGAAGGAAAGGTTTATTATCGTGCAAGGGTGGGATCAAACGGGCTGGGCTCAAAGACTTCCTTTGTCTCAACCCTATATTGTGTCCTTGCTCAATAAGCATGTCTTGTGCTGACCAGAAATATATCTGGAGGACTCCTGTAGCTCAGTGGTTAGAGCGCTCGCCTCGCAAGCGAGAGACCTGGCTTCGATTCCCGGCAGGGGGCAAAACCCTGGGCAACTTTCCTTACCCCACACGCCTGATTATAATCCCTCAAGAAAAGAAACAATAATTAGGCACTGCTGTGCGCCATTGGCTGCCACATTTCACCCACCAATATACATTCAATTCACCTTACAGCATATTCTGTGAACCGCTTTGAGACGTCTAGAATCATTACATTAAAATCGCTATATCAAATGCAAAGATTATTATTAAGTATTATTGTATCATAATTGTAAGTTTGCCCAAGCCTCAGAACGTTCAGCCGTTTGCCAACCGCCACCAATCAACGTAACTTTACTGCAGCCTTTTTAAATTTTAATCAAGATCAAGTTATAGTTTTATTTAAAACTTTACAAAATTCATCAGAGAGAATTTCAAATAAAAATGTGAATAATTTCATTGCTAAAAATATCCGTCTCTAAGCAATCTCTTTGTACTCGCAAATTTCTGGGAAAGATTTCAATCTCGAACGTTTGCCGAAATGGAGCTGACCACATCCGCCATGAACTGAACACTAACTGTTGCCCAAATAGTTTCACACCGCGCTCTTTCTCTTAGGTTTGTAAAGTTATAGATTCAAAAGCTTATCTGGCCAAATACACCTTTTTTTTAAAAAAAAAATATTTCTACAAATATTAAGGAAGGACACTTAAGTTCAAATTTAAATAGGAAGACATGCACAGCGAGCACACAAAGGGAAGGGGGTTGGGGCGAATACTGTTTAAGAAACATGAACTGCTCTTGAATTGAGCACGTGGTGAAGGAAATGAGAAAAATTTTTTTGCAGTGTTTTGAAGGGATTTTCCTTCAATTTTCTAGTCTTTGCCTCTCGGCGGAGGCACATGTCAATTGGGGATGGAGCCGCGTGGGGGGTGGGGTGGGCGCCTCACTCAGACCTCACTCTAATGGTCTTGCTTCATAATAAATAATTATAATCCTTGCATTTCATATCGCATCTATAATGTCAAACCGTCTCAAAGCACTTCACACAGGGAAACACAGTTGGTGTCGTACAGATGCTGTATGAAATCCTCAATATGTCCCCTCAGTTCCCAGAGCAAAACAAAAACAACAACTGAAGCACCACCCCGCCCTGTGCCTCCTTGGTCTGTATGATATCGGACAGTGTTGCTCATTTAGCTATTGAGCCACACACACGAAGCGCTCGTATACATGTTCAAAAGCCAACTGGATACTCACTTCTCCGAAAGCTCCATTAGCCTTTCAAATTCTTCTGAATGTTCGGCTACAGCCACGAGGGCGAGAATGCCGGCCTGTAATGAAAATCTTACCCATGGCAAATACATTCACAACAGCAGAGGCCGTTTGTATCACTGCTACACCTCGTACAAAGCCGAGTCCCAAATTTCGCCCATTTCAGCCTGTAACGTCGACCGGCTCAACAATTTAAGGTTATGAAAAACTGTGTAAAATTCTTTAATTCAGGCTTAATTTGGAAGCCGGTTCTTTTTTTTTAAAGAACAGTGGGAAAACAACTTTAAATAAGAGACCAAATTTAACAATTTTCCACAAATCCGTGCAATAAAGGCGAGGTGGAATCTTGACCCACAGACATGCTGGTGCCCCTCTAATTAAACACAGCGTATTCAACTGCTGCTTGTGCTTTGGTGTACTGCAGACCCACCTGTCGCAGGAACCGGACCACCAGGACCCCCTAAGAGGATCTACCTGATTTTGATATTCCATTGCCAGGCAAATTGCCTTCGAGCCAGTTCAACAGCACGGAGATTTTGCATATCTCCTCCCCCCTGGGAGGATTGTCACGAGTTGATGATTTAACATCTAACAAGTGCACACGCGATCCCTCACCAGGTGCATGTCCCAGAAACTCATTGCAAGCCTGGTGGTGAGCAGCGTAACTAAGCACGAAATTCCTGAGAGCATGTTCACCATCCATAATCCGGACACATTTCTCAACCCATTGAACCCTGACTCCACCAATTGGAAGTGCAGAGTTTCAGCAGCAGCTGCGTACTTCTCTGTATTCCAATCAGGTTAGACACCAAGCCTTGGATATAAGAGTGTACGTTCACACTGGCCTTCCAGCAGCTCACCAGCTATTTGATAATTAGCTGCTTTCAACATAGTGGGAGGATCTATACACGATAACTTGTTTAGTCACCAGATTAATACAGTAGCTGTGATAAAGAGGCTCAGTTACGACACAAGACAGGATAAATCTGAGTTCTGTTCCTAGAGATGAGGTTAAAGATCAACTGGATTGAGGTGTTTAGCAAAACCACAAGAATTGACAAGCAGAGCTAGGGATGACTTTTTCCTTCTAGTGGAGGATCCAAAATAAGTCTTGTAAATAATAATAGTAATCCTTGCATTTGATATAGCCCCTTATCAGGTCTTCGAGACGTCTCAAACTCTTCACAGAATATACTGTAAAGCGAATTGACTGCATATTTTGTGGGTGAAACACCGCAGCCAATCGTGCCCAGCAGCGTCCCACAAACAGTCGTGGATTGAGTGACCACATTTTTTTTTAAAGAGATCATTACTCCTGGAAAAGCAATCCGCCAATCGACTAACAACTCCGAGACGCCATCCAGCGTGAAGGGTGCTATATGAATGCAACTTGTTGCTGTTGTATGTAGAGCAAACCTAGTTAGAAGTGAGATCCTTTCTTCACAAGATTATGACAACGTTGAACACATTGATTACTATTTTTCGGAAGATGAAAATGGTTCAAACGCACAAGAATCTACTCCGCCTGAGGGCACTATGTAAATGCAACTTGTTGTTGAAATATTGATTAATTTTAAACGATTACTGTACCTTCTTAGCTTGATCGATCACTGCATCAATATCCTAAAATAGGGATGATAATGTCAGTAAGAATGTTGATAGCGCAATAAAGTTCACCAAAATTAGCTTTTGCAGTTCAAGTAGAAAATGTTCTCAATAATATAAAATCTGAGGTATATATGATATATATAATTTATTGTCTGTAAATGTCTAGTTATCTACACTTCTTTCACATTTCTGGTCACCCCCATGCACTTTTGTTAACTGCCCATGAATCTCTGCACCGTTTAGCTAAATCTGAAGCAAGGATGTCCAAAATTAAACGATTGAAAGAGAGTCTGAAGCAAGAAATAGGTCTGACGTTTCATTATTAAAAGATTTCAAGCACGGGTGCTTTGACTGGGCACTCTCAGATTGTGGGCGATTAGATAAACTCTCACTTCCTGATTTTATTTCAGTTTAAAGAAGCGGCGTATCAAGAATGCAAATGTGGCCTTTTTCATTAGCTGCAAACCGAGCTTCAAAAAACGTTTTTCAGCTAATGAAACATTTTACTTTTTGGCCCACAAAGCAGAAAAATAATAAAAGGTCGACAATATTTTAATGTTTAATAAATTACGATAACAAGGTTACAACGGAAGTAGGGTGTGGGGAGGAGACCAAGTGTAAATTCAAAATGTAAAATAGTTCAGAGAAAATAGTGAAGAAGAGAGAATACAGAACAAGGGTGAATAGAAAAGAAAGAAGACAACTAGGCAAAATCATAATCTTTCAAAGTTTAAAATTGTGCTAATATTTATTTCATGGGTTAGCATCCATGTCACAGGAATAATAATAATAGTTGCGTTTGATTAAGCCTTCAAGACGTTTCAAAGCCCCTTCACAGAATATGCTGTCAAGTGAATTGACCGTATATATTGTGGGCGAAACGCGGCAGCCAATTGCACACAGCAGTGTCCCACAAACAGTGGTGGATTGAGTGACCAAATTATCATTATAATATTGTTTGTATTACCCCAGAAAAAGCGATCTGCCAATCGACTAACAACCGGGTTCCTACTTACGGCTGGGTAAACAGAAGCGTGTGAAGTAAGGAAACTTCCCCAACATTGCGGCCTGCCGGGAATCGAACAAATGTTCTCTCGCTTGTGAGGCGGGTGCTCTAACCGCTAAACTACCGGACTAATAATGCTAAACTGATGCTTGTTTAGCTTTATTCATGTAATATTATTGTGGGGAATTGGGGTGAATTCAGGAAAACAGCATGTAACCTGAAAATTAGCAGAGCTGGTCAGCCCAGGAGACAGGAGTATTCGAGGACCCGTGGCAGATTCCTTTTTTGTACCTTTGAGCAAGATAAACACCGGAGAAAGGACAGTGACCAGACTGACAGGAAAAGGTGGAGAAGAGTTGCCTATTTTAGAAAAAAAGTGGAGTTCATGTCAAGGATTCCGATTGTACAGGAATGTCTTTTATGTGCCATGGCACACAGCATCCCCCCCATGATCAAAGGACTTCATCAGAACTGCGTGCCAATGCAGTTAGTTCTACTCGAAGCCTTTTAGCTGCTCTCGGCTGAATGTGGGCCAAGGGATTAGGAGAAATTTCCTCCTCTTTTCAAATTGTGACACGGGATCTTTAAAGTCCATCTGAACAGGCTGATAGGACCCTTCACTGATAGTCTCGTTCCAAAGAATAGCAACCCCCAACAACGCAGTACACCCCCAGCACTGCCTTGGGGTGTCAAAGCGGGGCTCGAACCCTTAACCTTCTGACGCAGGCAAGAGTCCTACCTACAGAGCCAGGCCGACGCCTGAAAACTGCTGTAAGGTGCTTCAGGGGAAGATTAACATATCCCGACAGAGTTCTGGAAAGTCCCCCCAAGGCACATCTGCAAGATCTGTGCTATTTACACATCCTTTAGCAAATCCTGCAGTCATTGTTGTAATGTAAAGGCTCGCCCAACACAACACACTGAATGGGAGATTCAATCAGTCCATGGATTATATTATGGAAATAGTCATCCATCCAAAACGCACATTGATAGCTGTACTTCCTCAACACAATGTCGCCTGATATAACAAAAAAAAGACTTCCGTCTCTTTCTGTGCACATCAAAGTCATTTATTTTTTTTTTTAAAAAATGGCAAAACAAACAGATTTTTAATCTTGTGTGAAAAGTTAAATCCTGATCAGATATTTTTCAAACCCCCTCCCGAAAAGCAACATTACCCATACCAAAAGGAAACTACAAAGCAATTGTAATATAATCAGCACTGAGACTGAGGGGAGATAGTGGGTACACAACTAGAAACAGTGAATTGAATCCTCAAAGTACTGTGTCAATATTTATTAGTTGAGAGTACACTCTTTTGGACAAACGTCAATATAACAATTAAGTGTCATTGTTGGTAGCACTCGCTCGCTCAGTTGGATGCACTCTCTGAGCCAGAAGGCTATCTGGATTCAAGTCCCAAAGCAGGGACTTTGAAATCACAGTCCAGGCTGAATTACTGATACAATGCTGGAGCAGTGCGGCATTAATAATAATAATAATCCTGGGCACTTGATATTGCGCCTCATCAGGTCTTCGAGACATCTCAAAGCGCTTCACAGAATATACTGTGAAGTGAACTGACTGTATATTTGTGGGTGAAACGCGGCAGCCAATTGCGCACAGCAGCGTCCCCACAAACAGCCGTGGATTGAGTGACCAAATTATTATTGTTTTTTTTCTTGAGGGATTATTATCAGACGTGTGGAGTAAGGAAACTTGCCCAAGGTTTCGCCCCCTGCCGGGAATCGAAGCCAGGTCTCTCGCTTGTGAGGCGAGTGCTCTAACCACTGAGCTACAGGAGTCCACATTGATGGAGGTGTCATCCTCTTGAGACCTTAAACCAAGGTCCCATCCGCCTATTTAGGTGGATGCTGAAGATCCTATGGCACTATTTAGAAAGAGAACGGCGAATGCTGCCTTAGCCAACCAAAACAGAGTACTTATTATGCCCTTTACCCAGGGTGGGTGCCTCAAGAATGCTGAAAAATTCCCGAGATGAAACTGATCACTCACTTTAGGGCTGTTTGCGGGATATTGCCATGTGTAAATTGGCTGCCTTGTTTGAATACAAAATAACAACAACAAGATTACATGCGTATAGCGCCTTTCACGTCGGGATGACGTCCCGAGGCGCTGGACAGAGTATAGCATTTCAGACCCGAGCTGGGGTTGGGGGGGGATAAGGGAGGGGAGGGGAAGGGGGGTGGCCGATGGCATGGTCGAAGAGGAGGGTCTTGAGGTGGGACTTGAAGGAGGCTAAGGAGGGGGCGAGGCGGAGTGACTGGGGGATGGAATTCCAGAGGTTGGGGGCAGAGTGGCTGAAGGCTCTCCCACCAATGGTACACAGTCACAACACTTTGCAATAAATCCTGCAAATGCTTTTAATTGTGCTCCGGATGTGAAAGGTGCTAAATCCAATGTGAGAGGTATATTTAGGTGCAGCAGCAGAGGGCACTCCATTGCAAAGTGGGCGTGTGAACGGTTTCCTAACAAGGGAAAAATGTACCTCTACTGCTCTTCCAGTGCTTATCATATTATCAACAGGAGCACAAACAGGAATACGATATCAAGTATTTTGCTTACTGTGTATACACAGCATTGCTGTTGATTACATCTCCCAAGTACTTAACAATATTCACAGACAATTCGCTAATGGGGCAGCAACTTGCCAAGGACACTTTTAAGGGAGTTAAGAGGGATTTTCCATCTGTCAGAATACCACAAGAGTTTTAATTAATGCCGGCTGCGATTTCATTTATGGTTTGCCAACAGCCACTGGCGCCCCAAAACTCTGGAACACTCTCCCTCAATCTCTCCGCCTTGCCCCCCCGTCTCCTCTTTCAAGTCCCACCTGAAAACCTTCCTCTTTGACCGTGCTTACGGCCCCCTCCCCTCGGAGTCAGGCTCCGCCACTGTTTAGCGCTCTGAGACACTGCCCTGCGCGGAGGGCGCTTTATAAGCGCGAGTTGTTGTGGTGGTTGTCAAATGCAAGGATTTTATTATTGTTGTTACCTTTTTTTGGGGGTGGAGGGAGGAGGAAGGCTAGTATTTGGGTTGACTTTGGGGGCTGATACAAATGTATTTTACTTCCTGGCCAAACCCCAAGGGTGCCCCCAAAACCTCCTTTGCCGAGTCAGAGACGAGAGCTATAATAATAACAACAACAACAACACGGTGGAAGCAGAAAGTGTTAGACTTCTTTGTAGGAAATAATAACTTGGGATACAGTACAACCAAAAACAAAATAAAAATAAACGGCCTCTGTTTACCTAACAGTAAGTAGGAACCTGGTTGGTTGTTAGCCGATTGGCGGATCGCTTTCTGGGGGTAATAATCCCTCAAAATATAACAATAATAATAATCACTCAACCCACGACTGTCTGTGGGCTGACGTCGCTGTGCGCAATTGGCTGCCGCGTTTGGCGCACAAGATGCACAGTCACCGTATACCCTGTGATATCTCCCCCCACCCAGAGCGCTCAACAATGGTGCAGCCCAAGGCCGAGCCTGGGGGGGAAGTGGGGGGAATGGGGGGGAATGGGTGGAAAGGGGGAGAGGGGGGGAATGGTGGAGAGGGGGGGATGGGGGAGAGGGGGGGAATGGGTGGAGAGGGGGGGAATGGGTGGAGAGGGGGGAATGGGGGAGACATGGGGGGATGGGTGGAGAGTGGGGGGAATGGGGGAGAGAGGGGGGGATGGGTGGAGAGAGGGGGGGATGGGGGAGAGAGGGGGGATGGGTGGAGAGAGGGGGGGAATGGGTGGAGAGAGGGGGGAATGGGTGGAGAGAGGGGGGGAATGGGTGGAGAGAGGGGGGGAATGGGGGAGAGAGGGGGGGAATGGGGGAGAGGGGGGGAATGGGGAGAGGGGGATGGGTGGAGAGGGGGGAATGGAAAGGGGGATGGGGAGAGGGGGGGAATGGGTGGAGAGGGGGGCGAATGGTGGAGAGGGGGGATGGGGGAGAGGGGGGAATGGGGGAAGAGGGGGGGAATGGGGGAGAGAGGGGGGGAATGGGGGGAGAGAGGGGGGGGGGATGGGGGGAGAAGGGGGAATGGGGAGAGAGGGGGGGAAGGGGGAGAGGGGGGGGGAAGGGGGAGAGAGGGGGGGGGAATGGGGGGAGAGAGGGGGGGAATGGGGGGAGAGAGGGGGAATGGGTGGAGAGAGGGGGGGAATGGGGGAGAGAGGGGGGGATGGGTGGAGGGAGGGGGATGGAGGGGGAAAGGTGACCGTCGGCGCGGTCGACACCACACATCCCGCACACCGGGCTGACAGCTGGACTGTGACTGTCTGCTTTGGGGGTGGTTGGAGGGGGGGGGGAGCGTTTGGGAGGGTTTGGTCCTTACTGTGGTGAAGTCGGGCGCTGCCAAGTGGCAGTGACAGTCCACGCAGCCGCTCATCATCATCATCATCGCCGCCGCCGCCTCCTTCCCGCCCCTCTCCTGAGGGGGTGGTGGTGGTGGTGGGGGGGGATTGCCTTTCAAAATATATATATATATCTACACATGAAAACACACACACGGGCGGACATTTTATTTTAAATCGATTGATTGATCTTTCTTCAGACGGGGCCGGAACTCTCGTGCGAGGCTCCGGCGGGGCGGGGGGTGTGGTTTCCACCCGGAGCAGCAGCAGCTGTAGCACTCAGGGCACGTGTGTGTGTGGGTGTGTGGGTGTGTGTGATGGCAGGGAAGGGGGGGGGAGGCATTTGCTGGTGACACCCACCAAACCGGAAGGAAGTGGAGCCCACCCCCTCCACCCCCCCCAAAAAAAAAAGCGCGCGCACCCGCGTCTCGGAAGCGGCCGTTAGGTTTGAATCCGAGGCGTTCAGCGCGAGGGATGGAGCCGGAGCCCACAGGCCCCACAGCCTCCCCCGCGGCCCCCACAGCCCCCGCACCCTCCCCCACAGCCCCTGCACCTTCTCCCACAGCCCCCGCGGCCCCCGCACCCTCCCCCGCGGCCCCCACACCCCCCGCACCCTCCCCCGCGGCCCCACACCCCCCGCACCCTCCCCCGCGGCCCCGCACCCTCCCCCGCGGCCCCCGCACCCTCCCCCGCGGCCCCCGCACCCTCCCCCGCGGCCCCCGCACCCTCCCCCGCGGCCCCCGAGCCCGGGCAGCGCATCCGCTGCTGGGGCAGCAAACGCCAGTTCGGCCAGGCCCTGGCCCGCTGCTCCCGCCTCCTCCTGGGGCCCACACTCAACCTGACACCCGAGCGGGAGCAGCAGGTCCAGCGGGTGAGTGCTGTTTACCTCAGAGAGAGAGAGAGAGAGAGAGTGTGTGATATACACCTCAGAGAGAGAGTGTGTGTGTGATATACACCTCAGAGAGAGTGTGTGTGTGATATACACCTCAGAGAGAGAGAGAGAGAGAGTGTGTGATATACACCTCAGAGAGAGAGTGTGTGTGTGATATACACCTCAGAGAGAGAGAGTGTGTGTGTGATATACACCTCAGAGAGAGAGAGAGTGTGTGTGTGATATACACCTCAGAAAGAGTGGTGTGTGATATACACCTCAGAGAGAGAGTGGTGTGTGATATACACCTCAGAGAGAGAGTGTGTGTGTGATATACACCTCAGAGAGAGTGTGTGTGTGATATACACTTCAGAGAGAGAGTGTGTGTGTGATATACACCTCAGAGTGAGAGTGTGTGTGTGATATACACCTCAGAGAGAGAGAGTGTGTGTGTGATATACACCTCAGAGAGAGAGTGTGTGTGTGATATACACCTCAGAGAGAGAGGGTGTGTGTGATATACACCTCAGAGAGAGAGAGTGTGTGTGTGATATACACCTCAGAGAGAGAGAGTGTGTGTGTGATATACACCTCAGAGAGAGAGAGAGTGTGTGTGTGATATACACATCAGAGAGAGAGAGTGTGTGTGTGATATACACCTCAGAGAGAGAGTGTGTGTGATATACACCTCAGAGAGAGAGAGAGTGTGTGTGTGATACACACCTCAGAGAGAGAGTGTGTGTGTGATATACACCTCAGAGAGAGAGAGAGTGTGTGTGTGATATACACCTCAGAGAGAGAGGGTGTGTGTGATATACACCTCAGAGAGAGAGGGTGTGTGTGATATACACCTCAGAGAGAGGGTGTGTGTGATAAACACCTCAGGGAGCGTGCGTGCGTGCGCTGTGCACCTCAGGGAGCGTGTGTCATCTAAACTATCAGTCTTGTATTATGGTTCCTTCTACAGCGCCTTGGGACGTCCTCCTGACGTGAAAGGCACTCAATAAATGAAATCTTGGTGTTGTTTTTCTCAGACATTATGTCCCAACTGTTTTCTTACAGATGTTTGAAGCCGCTGTACAGGAAAATATTCTTGTGAATGAAATGCTATGGCAAGAATTGCCAGAAGAAGAGCTGGAACATGGTATGATATTAAATAACTTTTCCCCAAATCCTTTCATCCTATTCCGGGTGGTAGTTCCACAGGTGGACCACTTGCCAATTTCTCACCAACGTGATGTGAGTTTGTTGGCAAATTATGTGACCTTGTGTCTGTACAAAAATATAACATTGAGAAGAGTTTCTAAATAATAAATCTTTGCTGAAAGAGATTACTGTTTCAGTTACTGATTCAATACTGTGCTGCCCATATCTTCACCTGTATCAAGATCTGCGCCCACACCACCCCAGAACCTAAGCTACACTAGTTCCCCACTACAAAACAATTTCAGTTTCCAAATCCTCACACTCGCGTACAAATCACTTAATGTCCTACCACCTCCCTACCTCTTCAACTTGCTTGTACCCCACTCTTCTGTCCAACCCCATTGCTCAGCTGGCTCCAACCCTCTGTACATCCCTCATCCCCTCAGCTCGACCATAATTGGCTGTGCTTTCAGCCACTCTGCCCCGAAACTCTGGAACTCTTCACTCAGTCCCTCTGCCATGCTCCTTGCCCGTCTACAGATCACACATTCAAGACCTTTGACCATGCCAGCAGTCACCTCCATTCCCTCCCTTGCTTGGTGTCGAGCTCCACCACTGTTAAAACAGTTTAACACGCTACTCCATGTGAACAGTGCTATACAAATGCAAGTTGTTGTACAAAATAATAAATTACCTTGTTTTCAAGCCTCTTCTGAGCACTGCTTGTAGATTTGCTAAATATTCTAATATTTGCTAAATATTCAGGCAATGACATCAAGGTTTTAGATGACGAGTTGGATGAGTGTATTAAAGAGACAGCTACAAAACGCAAGAAGTTTCCCAGGAAGATCTGTGGGCATGTTGCTAAGACAATGAAAGCGGAAAGAGAAAAACTAGTATGTACTTTTTTACCTCTATTTTTGATCTTACAAATAATAATAAATCTTGCATTTGATTTAGTACCTTATCATGTCTTTCAGACGTCTCAAAGTGCTTCACAGAATATATTATAGAGTGAAATGTACCAGATTCCAGTGCAGACTCAATAAGATGATGGGCCTGTTTCTGTGCTCTATGTCTATGTTTTTTCTGCGAAACTGGGTAATCTAATTGACTCCCTTTTCCTTACTCTACACACCTCTATTTGCCTAGTTATAAGTAGGAACCCAATTGTTAGTCATTGGCAGATTGCTTGCTTTCCAGGGGTAATAATCCTCCCTTCACTCAATCCATGACTGTTTGTGGGACACTACTGTGTGCAATTGGCTGCTGCATTTCACCCACAAAATACAGTCATTTCACTTTATATTCTGTGAAGCTCTTTGACGTGATAAGACGCTATATCAAATGCAAAGATTATTGTGATAAAGGATGGGGCACACCTCGGAAAAGGGATAAATCTTTTGATAAAAGTTTGCTACTGCGATTGCAAGAAACTTGAACAGTGGGAGCTTGATTTATGACTGAAAAAGTTGTGTTTTTAAAGGAAAAACTGGGGTCACGATCATGATTGAAGCACTCTGAGATGCTACCCTGGGTGAGGGGTGTAATATAAATGCAAGTTGTTGTTGATCTTTTGAGGGGAGGGAGATGAAAAATGAAGTTCTCTTGAGTGCAATGGAAGAAAAACTTCTGCACCCAATTTTTAACATCTGAAGCTCATTTCAGAATTTTGTATGGCACCCTCCCCACCTACTTGAAGTTCCACAGTTTGAGCGCAGCTTCCAAATCTGTTGTTGAATTGGTTTTGCTGGAATTGTATTGCTTTTGTTTAAAAAAAAGAGCAGACATGGAATCACGGAATCTGAATGGTGACCAGGTGATAGATAATAAGCCTTGCGTTTGATAATTGAGTGACTGATGACTAATTGAGTATTATGTGATAAACAACCAAGCTAGCTAGAGTATTTCTTGACCTCTTTAAACATAATAACTAATAATAATCCTTGTGTTTGATAGAGTGCGTTATCACGTTGTTGAGACAAGTCAATTGAGTTTAATGTTAAACATGTCAATTTCAGCAAGCAATCGAACAGTCAAAGATTGCTGTGGTACCCATGTGGGCCACTACAGGCCCATATGACTACAGAATGTATTTGGAACTGTTACAGCAATATACAATATACTCTTTGTACTCCAACCTAAAAGCTTTCAGTTCTTAACAGCTGTGCTCTTTTTTTTAAAAAAAAGAGTATATTTGATGTCAACCCGTTACTAAAAACTTCTTAACTCTCGAGTTAAGTGTACCAAGTGAGTTATGTTTCCTTTTAGGGTTTTTCAAATTCTCTCCTACTCCAGAAAGATGTTCTGTCAGAATAGGACTTTGGAGCTTCGATGATGATGATGATGATAATGATGATAATAATAATAATAATAATAATAACAATTTAGTGATGGCACAATAACCATTGAGTCAATTATTTCCCTGAAACAAATACAGTATTTGGGTTTAGATGCTTATGACGAGTGCTGTGGTGTAATGTTTGATGCTTTTAACTGTCCTACCTCCAATTTTTGTTACAGAAAACTATATAGCGACCAAACTTAGCTGTTAAAGTGCAGCCGAGACATACCCATTGTTACAAAGTTAATCATTAATCCAAAATATTTACCATAGTTAGAATGTTTATTCCTTGCTGTTTGGTTAAGCATCTTGTGGTAAACATTCTGCTTTTATGGGAAGCAAAACCAGTGGTCTTCACCAACTACTGTTATAAGTGATGCCTCCAGATTTATGATGAAGTCAGCAACCTGGGATACTGGTCTAGAAGTTTAATAGGATGACCTTTTTGGTCAGTTGTATAAACTTTGTCAGTTTTCATACACTGTACTTGCCTGAAAGATAATTTGGTGTCTTGCAAGTTGGGTTGAAATGTCGTTCACGTTTACTTTTCATCACTAAGGAAGACTTGTACCTCATTATATTATAGAAGCTTCAACAGGCAGTAACAATTCCCAAAAGGACGCTGCAGCTACACCTAGAGCAAGGTAAGCATGTACCAAATTGGTGTGTTTATTTAAATTTATATGTGAGGGACAAGGAAAATTAAACTGAATAAAAACATATTATAATTTTATATATATATATATAGCAGGAATCTTTACCCTAACGAACCAAATCTGTTCTAAATAAATTGTATTGGTTCACCTTGTTTCAGGGAATCATAGCTGAGGAAAATGTTCTGTTGAATATATGTGCAAGCAACAAAATTATGTTAACTGAAAAGTACCGCTGCTTAAAACAGAACTTGCATTTATTGTTTTTAACATTCAGCCCTGCTTTAACCTTCGGACTGCTACTACTGTACATTAGTGTTGCCTTTGTTTTGCCATTCTTACTTTGAAGTCTCTGATCGTCCTCGTTACTCATCTTCTCTTTTGGCTGCCGCATTTACCTACAAAATACATTCATGCACAGAGTAAATCCATTTAAATACTTTTGAGACCCTCTATCGTGAGGCTCTATATCAAATGCAAGGAATATTATCAGTAAACCGCCAAGCTTAGCTAATTCTGAGTTTGAGAGGTTTTCTTACCACTTAGAGAGCATAGTGCAATTCAGAGTAAACAATCAGTGCTGTGCATTGCTCAATCCCATTTTTCATTTCCCCTTTCCATTTCCTTGATGCTATATTTGTGGGAACAAATTCAACGTGACCCAAAATGAGGGAAGATCCTACACAGCTTGAAGGGTCTCAAAATAACAAAACAATGAATCTTGATCAAGCATGATGAGGAACTCATTTTGCTGTTGTAAAGCAAGTTGTGTCCTTAGGCACATTTTTATAGGGAAAACATGAATTTGAATGGTGGAGATATTTTTATTTCAGCTTTATTCCTTTTTTAATCTTTAGTTTGCCCTCAATTTTTTTTCCTGTTTTGAATCTTCCAGTTTACCTTCTATTTTCCTTGGTAGCAATGTGTTTCTTTCCAAGTTTGCAGCACAGAATGAGTGCATCTAGTTATTGCAAGCGACCCTGGACTTTCAGCCACCTGCTGGTGCACTGACTCAAAGACTGAATACTTTTCATTTGCTCCATAAATCACTGAAACCATAAGTGTGGTGACACCAAACCTAGAGTCTTTCCTGCTGTTGGCACCTGCCTCCCTTAAACCTAACTGGAGTTCTGAGAGGAGAGGGATTGCTGCGATTCAGATTGTAAACATTTTCATAATGAGTGTATCTTTTTAATTGAATAATGATATTTGAGAAAGCAGCTCTAAAGCTCTAATTGAATCGAGGAGTTCAGTTTTACAGTCGTAACCACTCCGCTTCTCTTGTAGTTTTACACTTTTTTCTCCATTTTAAATTTATTTCAGTTGCACGTTGATCTGTTAGGTATAGAAGATTTCCATGTTTCCCATTTTTGCTAGTTAGTTATAATGGTAGTTATCGTACTCATGAAGGTAAAATTGTCTGCTGTGGCATTATTAATAACAATAATACTTGCATTTGAATATAGCGCCTTATCACTTCGTCGAGACTTCTCGATGCGCTTCACAGAATATATTGTGAAGTGTAGTGAAGCTGTATTTTGTGGGCGAAACGCGGAAGCCAATTGCGCTCAGCGGTGTCCTACAAACGGCCATAGAGTGAGTGACCAAACCATCATTATTTGGGGTGAAGAGATTATTACCCCCGGAAAGTGATCTGGCAATTGACTAACAAGTGGGTTCCTACTTCCTGCTAGGTAAACAGTCCCGTGGAGGGACTGATGTGTGAGTGTTTTAATGTCCATCGTCTAAAGACCTTTTTGGATAATACTGAATCAAAGGAATTATGTAATTTTATTTCAAATTTTTTATACATATTATTACCTGTCCCTGTACATATAGAGTACTTGTAAAGCGTACTGTTTGCTAACTTACAGGACATAAATATACACTTATGTATCTTTTTTGAGTGTATTTGCTAAATATGGTTTGTGTTTAGTAACAACGGAGACTGAATTAATGGAAAATGCATCAATTGTTTCACAAGAAATGAATGACATTATGAAGGTAAGCACTTCAGAAATTCTGTACATTTTAATTGTTCAGGACTTTTTTGTCAGCGGCACTCCTGTTAAGAGATTCTTCATTATTCAGAACTCTGCAGCTCGTGTCCTCTCCCGCACCAGACTCCGTGAATCCATCACCCTCATCCTCGCCCGGCTTCACAGGGAATCAAGTTCAAAAATCCTCGTCCTTGCTTTCAAAGCCCTCCACAGCCTTGCCTCTCTGCTCTGCTAAGCCCCTAGTGCCCTGTCTGTTTCCTCCGCTCGGCAGACTCTGCTCCACATCCCTCACCCTGCCTGCGCCTCCATCGGCAATCAGGTCTTCAGCCTTTCTGCCCCACCCCCCCCCCTTGGAACTCCATCCCACAGTCCCTTACTTCCTTCAAAGACCGTCTCAAGATCTTCCTCTTCAACCGCACCTTAGGTCACCCTTTTACCTCCACCCTCCCTGCCCATCACCCTTCCTGGAGTCCTGTAGCTCAGTGGTTAGAGCACTCGCTTTGCAAGCGAGAGACCTGAGTTCAATCCCAGGCACAGGGCGAAACCTTGGGCAAGTTTCCTTACTCCACACGCCTAATAATAATCCCTTCAAAAACCAAAAACAATAATTAATTGGTCATTTTCAATCTACGACTGTTTGTGGGACATTGCTGTGCGCAATTGGCTGCCGCGTTCGCCCACAAATATACAGTCAATTCACTTTGCAGTATGTTCTGTGAAGCGCTTTTACAAATTGTCTTCTTCCTTCCGACCTTGGGTACGGTTGCAGTTTTACACGCTGTAATTTGGCCCACCAAAGTTACTCAACCGTGGTTTTATTTTTGGTAAACCGACAGTGGGCGAGCACTTATCTTGTACACGTGCGTGTATAGTGGGTGATTTATGCCTGACTCATTGGTAGTTTCTTTGTCAGGAAAGCACAAAGTTCCTTCCCATCATAGATTGTACAGGATATGTTGACTAATTGTAGTCTTTTAAAATCATAATACCTGTGTTTGATATAGTGCCTTGGCACATCGCCAGGACTTCTCAAAGCTTTTCACAGGATTTCACTGTGAAGTGTCATGACTGCGTCTTTGTTGACAAACGCAGCAGCCGATTTACACTCAGCGGTGTCCCCTAAACAATTTTATCTAGGAGATTGTTGGCCAGGACACCGGGAGAAACTCCCTCCTCTTTTCAAATGTCATGGGATCTTCATTCAAGTTAGGCTAAATAATAATAATTATAATAATAGTAATCCTTGCATTTGATATAGTACCTTAGAATGTTATCGAAATGTCTCAAAGCACCCCAAAGGCTTCACTGTAAAGTGTAATGACTGTGTATTTATTGGTGAACACAACAGCAGCAATTTACACACAGCAATGCCAACTAGCCAGGAAGTGATTGTCCAAATCTATTATTTTTTTGGGGGGTAGGAGGGTGGGAGGGGGGATGCTGGCCAGGACACACACCAGAATCCAAAGGGTGTCTGAGACAATCATTGAAATTTAAGACAGGAGAATGCTTTGCCCTTTTACAGTCTCCTTTCCCCTCCTTCCCCCGGACATTTCACTTTCCTTTCACAGATCTTCATTCAGCTGAAAAGGTTGAAAGCACTGTCACCTTCAGTGTTATTTTATGACCAGCCGAAGGTGATGTGTTTAAGGTTCCTGCCAATTTCTACTGCCTTCCGTTATTTCCTACCACTTCTGAGACAGAGTTGTTGATTGCCACAAGTATAACAGTCTCCACATTCCCTCCCCTCCACGTGGGCAAGTACAAAATCCTTGTTTTCCCTGTTCAGATCCCTCCACAGTCTCGTCTCACCCCACCCTACCTGTCCCACCCATTGGTGGGTAGGCTTTTAATCATTCTACCCCCTTTCTCTGAAACTTCACCTGAGGCCCTCCAACTTACTCCCTCCCTCAACCCCTCCCCTCCACCTCCCTCTTTCAAGGCATGTCTCAAACGTACCTCTTTGGCTACACATTCAACATCTCTCCCCTCTCACCTCTTTGGCCTCTCATCCCCACTCAATACTGTAAGACATACTCCCGACTGGAAAGCTGTTATATAAATGTAAATTGTAATTGTCATCAATTGGCAAAGCACAAAGAGACTGAAGGAGGACAGATGAGTTTGATGGGTTGCCTCAAATTGATTCTGAAATCAAGCCCTCCCGGGTGGGAGTTAAAGCAACGTGTTGATATTGTGATCCAGATGGGCTTGCTCAAACCGACTGTCAGGGTAAATGTTGTTATTAACTTATCGTGTATTTTAAAAGGTCGAGTTCCCCTTCTTTTAATGCTCTCCTTTCTTCACAGGAATACGAAGGACTGGAACAGGAAAACGCTACTCTAAAAAGGGAAATAAGGAAACTTGGTGAAGAAGTGAAACATTTGTCAGAAGCTTTGAAAGATCATGAACGAATATGCCCGCTGATACATTGCGCCATGAACTTTGTCACAACACCGAGATCTCACCCTGATGTTACAGCCAGCTGCTTATCACGTGGCGGACAAAGTGGAGTCTCATAGACAGTGTTTGCTGCAGCAATTCTTTTTTTTTAAGGCGAAGAGCTTGAAAACTTTTAAATACATCTGACTCTGGTTTACAACGAAAGCTTTTAAATACATCTCACTCCGGTTTACAACTTGGGAAGGTCTTTGGGACACGCTCTATAGGAACGAACTGAGCATCAGGCTACAGTAAGACTTGCAAATGCTTCTTTGGCCTTTGCACGCTGTGCGGCTAGAATATAAAGACACAGATGGTGCACACACATGGTCCCACGTGTGCATTATGCTCCATTGTGAGCTCTAGGCATAACAAAGCAATGATTGTGTTTTGAAGCGTGAGGGCTTTTGATGTATTCACAGCCCTTACAAACCAATATTAACTTCATTTTTTTAATGCAGGATTCCAAACTGCACTGAGCCTCAGCCATGTCAGTTAGATACACTTACTGTTAGGCAGCTTATAGGTGGCAGACAAACATAAGCAGTTTAGTCGTTAGTTTCACTATAAATGAGCCCTTATTTAACGTATTTAACAGATAAAAGGTCAACTGACTTACACTGGATATGAGTGTTGTGCCGATCTTACAAATTCACTTAGCAATGAAGCCTAAAGGTCAACTTATTTACTTTATGTCTCTGAATGCAGTGTGAAGAGTATCTTTTAGTGTTCTTTGGCTTTTTTTTGATCTCTTTCACCAAAAAGGACTATGTTTCAGCAACGAGATTCACACTGAAACAGATTGCAAAACCTGAAGGAAGCAGGATGTCGGGGGAGGACGGGACTGTGTGAAATCAAGGAAATTATTACATAAAACCGTCTCCACAAAACATTGATGTAACAGGAAACAACATTTGGAAACTGTTTAGAAACGAATGATCCAGGAACACTCAGTTCATGCAAGGACTCATTGCAGTAGTGGCTAGATTACACCATATTATTTAAAACTCGGAAGGTTTTGGGCATCGTATGTTGCATATCGCACATTACAGCCATGTTACGTGACCTTGCTTTGCAGATTCATTTCTTCACCAAATGTTCAGCAGTTCCAGCACTGCTTAAGATGTGGTTAGAAACTGACTTGTGAATGGGAGCAACATTTATTTGCAGGGAAAATCAACCATGCATGACGTTGGGATTCCTATGTCAGAACTTTGTTTAATTCATAGTATTCTTACAGATGACAGAACCAAATCTAATACTGTATTGTTATATTTATTTTGAAGTATTCTTTTACGTTACCACTGAAGTCTTATGCTTAGCTTATGCTTAGTCTCTTCGTTTAATATGCTGCTTTCAGTGACTGGTGATAGCAATAGAATGGTTTTATAGTGATCTTCCTTGCCATTTTTGAGTAACTCGCCCACAAATATGCAGTTTTTCACCCACAAATATCAGTCAATTCACTTTACAGCATTTTCTGTGAAGGCTTTGGAGCGCCGAGGACTGAAAAGCACTATATCAAATGCAAGGATTATTATTATTATTATAACTCCAGATGTGGATTGATGGGACCAAAAGGGCAATGAATGTAACTGATCCAATTGTTATTGAATCCAAAATGTAAAGCTCTGCTGTACTTTTTGGGGATGTTCAGGTAAACTAGAGACAAATTACCTTGAACATAATTTCCTAATTCCACATGTTTGGAAGATTACTGGACACTGCCTTTCACTACAAATATACTTATGATCTAATGCATTGATAGCTATCGAGACGATCGTGGAATCATAGAAAGTTATAATGCAGAAGGAGGTCATTCACATTAGCGATTCAGCTCCAGCTCTCAAAGGATGTTGTCCATTCAATCCCATGCCCTGCCTTATCCCCATACCCCTTCAAGCCTTTCTATTTCATATAACTGCCTACTTCCCTCTTGAAACCTACAGTAGACTCTGCTTCTACCACTTTACTTGGCAAGGCATTCCACATCCCAACAACTCTCTGAAATAAGATTCTCATAGGCTCTGCTTTCGCTCATCTTGTGACTATTTTATATCTCTGTTCACATCCAGTTTTGGATTCTGCTACCAGTTGAAATAGCATTTTCCTATTTACCCCCTTCAAAATCCCTCATATGTTTGTATACCACTATCGGGCCCTCTCTCAACCTTTTCTGCTCCAAAGAAAACAGGCCTAGCTTCTCCAATTTCTTCCCATTACCATAGTCCTTCTTTGGTGGTATGGATAGCATCAAGTATTGGTGTAGGTTACTGTAGAATGGGAATAATAAACCTATGTCAATTCAATAGCTGCTTGAAATAAATACTATCCAGCTATTGCTGCTTGCAAGCAGTTTGTTTTCATGTCTTCTGCCACCTCCAATTATACAATAATAAACACCAATACATCATGTTATCTTCTCCCAAACCATTATAGGTGCCATTTAAATAAGTTCATGGCATTTTCCTATGACAGCCATGTGGACAAGTGACACAGAAGCACTGACTGTACTTCAGTCACAGGATCCAGAGTCCAGTGATGCAGATGTTTTAAGTTTATCCTCATTCAAGTCATTCAAGTATTATTATTATTATAGGCAAACCAGGACCTAGAAAAGTTTGTGCGAAAGCATAATCCTCATATATACTGAATGTTACACGACTGAGAGAAACTTCATCCTTCACATTTTTGTGACGTTTTTTCTCTCTCTCATCTTTGTACCGAATAATGCGATTTATTGTAGTTTTGTTGGAAAATGTATCAGTCAGTGCACCTCATTATTGTCTTTTAGGAGATTCTGAATTTATACCAAATTCTATACGCTAATAAGTTATATATTGTAAAACATGATTCTGGTGCCACGTTTCGAATCGGAATTCTGTTGCTGTTGAAGTACGCGGTGTTTGTAAGGGGTGTTTTCATTAATAGCCTTTGCAACAATATATTCGGGAACGTAATCTTAAAATTAGACCTAAGCCCATCAACAGTGAACCCAGGAAGCATTTCTTCACCAAAAATATTGCGAGGATGTGGAATGGGAATGTTCGAGAAGGACGGCAGGTGCAGAATTCATGAAATTGTTTAAATGGGAAATTTGTGGGAAGTAATAGTATTTTCGGTTAGAAACATAAAGAACTAGCTTGACAGAGCAGACTCAATAGGCCAAATCGACTGTCCATGTTGCTATGTTCCCCTGAGGAATCATAACTCAATAAGCTTTAGGAGAATTAGATATAATCGTACCATTATTTTTGGAAAGTTAGAATTTTACTGTTGACCTCGGTTGCGTTTTTGTTCACAAGTTTGCTTTTCACGAAGTGCCTGTCACATGAATAAAAGTTAGGTTTCTTTTCATGCTCATGATAGTGTATTGTAAATGTTTGTGATCGTAGCACTTTCACTTCTGGGTCAGAAGGCTGTGGGTTCGAGCCCCAAGTCAAGGTGGTGAGGCTCATTCTAGGCTGACCCTCTCATGCTTTGCTGGGGGAGGATTGCCTTGACTGAGGTACCATCCTGTGGACCTGTCTGCTTGTTAGGGTGGACATCAAGGACATAGCACATTTTGAAAAGAGAAGGGAGTTTCTCCAGGTCTCACGAACTACCGTCCTCCAGATGAGCAGGTGGTGATCAGCCATTCGCTTCATGGCAGTGCGCAGATTGGCACAGTCAGTACCCGACACACACAAAAAAAAAACTTTGTCAAGAGCTTTGAGATGTTCTTGAAATTGTAGGTGCTGTACCATACTAAATGCAGGGATTATTATTATTATTATTATTATAGTTTCTTGCCTATCGCAAAACCCAAACCCAGCCGTGTAGAACAATGGTAAAGTGTGCGAATGCAAAGGGTTGTCCGTAACTCATCATAAACTCAAGGAAGCCACTCCAGCTTTTGACAGTATTATGTGTCGGTGGAACAGTGTAGGTAGAAGGCTCTGGAACTCAGGTATGGTTTTTAAATGGGGATTAAGGAGTATTTTTAATATGAGCAATTTGAACAAGTAGTTCCCTTTAAGGACTTGATGTGCATTCAAATGTTAACGTAAATTCACTTCTATTGTTGCGGTAATGAGAGCTGTACTGTTGTACCAAAATAATCTTCATGTTTTATTTTCCCCTTATGAATGGGTTCATACATTTTTTTAAAAAAAGCCATTGTAAAATATCTTTCTTCATCAAGGTGAGGGTTGTCAAGCTGTTGATGAAACATTTTTCCACCTTTGATATTCCCAGTGTCAGCGCAATTGTTCCCAGGTAAGGAACAGCATTATAGAGCCTTTCATATAAGAAGAAGGTCTCAAAGGGTTTCACAGAGATGGAGCGGGAGCTTGAACTGGGTGGTTGTCAAGAGAGGGTTAAAGAGAAAGGCCTTCAGATGGGTTTTGAAAGCAGATAGAAGGAACAAAGTAGAGGGTTCTCAAAAGAGAGTTCGAGAGCATGGGGTGGAGGGGGTGGGGTCCGGTAGAAAATTAACTGAAAGCCCGTCTAACAATAGTGGAGCATGCGGGGATGTGAAGTAGGCCGGTGTTGGTGAAGCGGAGGAAATGATTGGAGGAGGAGATCACAGACTGCATGGCCATGGAGGTGTTTGAAAACGAGGACCAGGATCTGAAAGTTGATCCACTGGGAAATAATGAGCCAATGGAGCTGGGGTGAGGGTGAGAATGACGAGGTCCAGGAGCCAAGAGTGGAAAAGGGTATGAGTTCTGCAGAGTTCTGGATTGTCTGGAGTTTGTGGAGGTTGGAGCTGGGGAGGCGAGCCAGCAGGGCATCCGAGGAGATATTTAGGTTTTGGCTGCTGCATTGGGGTGAGGTAGTAGTGGAGGCTGCTGATATTGTGGCAATAGAAGAAACCAGCTGGTCGGAGCCCAGATGAAAAGGTTTAAAGAGGAATTGAGGGCTCAAACAAAATGCCGAGGACGTGTATAGGCTCTGTGCATTGGAGTGAGCAACCAGAAAGGTTGATACGGTCAGTGACTGAGGTGAGGAGACCCTGGCAGGACTCGAGAAGGGTAGCCTCAGTTTTGTCATCGTTGAATTGACGAAAATTAGATTTCATCCAGGACTTCATGTCTGA